GAGGATCTTATCCACCTGTGTCTCGAGAGAAGCTAGAGGAAGGGCTTCAACAACATGGTCAGGAGGCTCGTTCCACGCTCCCACCACCCTCTGTGTACACAAAAGTGCCTCCCGCTCCCAGTTTCACATACAGTTCCGCTCGATGTCCTCTTGTTCGTGCTTCACCGCTAGTTCAGACGGTTAGTTCAGCTGGGTTGTCTTCACCGTTACCTCTGAGGACTCGAGTTGGGTCCCACGGTAGTCTGCGCCGTTCAGGACTGAAGAGGTTCAGTACCTGGAAGAGAGAAAAAAAGCAGTGTCCCCCCCGAAAACTTCGAGGCGGCACCTCACCTGTTCTGACTGCACTCCAGGATCCGCACGACAGATCAGGTCGTGGGAATGACGTCTCTGTGCGCTGACACGGAGCCATCGCAGCACGACGCGAGAAAGCCGACTCGCCGGCTGGCCTGTCTGTTAGGATTTATGACCTGTCGGGGCTTGTCTGCGGCGTCCTAGCGCCAGGGCTGCTGATAAAATACTTCCCGGGGTCAGGAGGAGAGGCAGGCATGTACGGAGTGACACGAATCCAGCTTCCGCCCGCTCTGCTCCACACACCTCTCCCGCAGGAGGTTGCGGGTGCAACCACGCTCCGTGTCCGGCACGGTCACCGCCGCTGCGCCTGCACTCCTGCCAGACCTGCGGGCCCTTCCCTGCCCAGCCCGCAGCGATCTGCGCTGGATGCCACCTGTATGACGCGATCCCCCGCGACGGCGCATGTCCACGCTGCAGGCAGGAGCAAAGCGAGTTGTCTGCGCCCCCCGGTGCGCGGGCTGCCTCTGCGCGAATGCAGGCGGCGCAGCCGGGCCCCGGCCGCTGATTGGCTGGCGGCGCAGCGGGCCCTGGCCGCTGATTGGCCGGGGACACGCCCAGGAAGTAGTCGCGCAGAAAGCGAGACGCCCGCTCTCTCTCCAGGGCTGTGGGAAGGCGCTGCAGAAGTTTTGCAGTAGTCGGGAATGTTTCTATTTTAATAACGGCTGTTTTTTTAAGAAACTCGTTGTGTGTGTGAGGCGGGCTGTTTTAACGGGACCCCAGAGCTGCCCAGGGCCATGTAGCGATTCCGACTGCGATCCAGCGAGCCCGCCGAGACGATGTGCTGTGCGCTGCCCGTGTCGACAGGATATCGAAATATTTCTGGAGTTCCGACGGGAAATAAACGACTCGGTCCGACTCGCTAACTGGTTAGAGAGGGCTGCCCCTTACCGGAGTGATCTGCGGACCTGAGCGCCTGTACCCGCATAGCTCTCGCCCTGCCTCTCCTCCAACATGACAGTAAGTTCTGCCGCAAAAACAACTTTTTTATTATTATTATTTCTGGAAAGTCGTGCAACAACCGGGATCTGTCGAGCCGCGGCGGCAGGTCCGACCGGATTCCTGACAGCCCAGTTGTCGGCGTCGGTGAGGATTTATTGATTTCGTTTTCGTGCGTGCGGAAATTCCCCCGCACGGTTCTCTAGGTCACTCTG